CATTGACTTCTGTGTGTCAATGTCTGCACAGTCACTGTTTTGTAATCAGGAACCACACGGCGCACATGCGGGGGTACCATTTCTGCATTCATGTCACAGCCTCCATGTGGTAAATTATTCATCATGTCCCTCAGTGGTGGAAATGTCACAGGAATGTACGGCCACAGACAGACAAACATTGTGTCTCAGACAGCCTATGGCTGCTGTATGGTCAACCTGTTTGGTCAAACTTGTTTCACGTATGCAACCTTTACCTACGATCAGTATTATAAACACTTTGTCTCATGATTGATGTTCCCTGAAAATTTCCTTTTGGAAAATTACCAAAATTGTATTTCTACTCCGCTGGATAATTGATTATCATCTCACCATGATTGTGCACTACATTGAATCATGGGGCTTTACTTCTGCTCCAATCTATTCAATTAACTTACACACCAACAATATAATTAACATTGCATCAACATTAACACCCACCTACTGTCTGCACAGGCTCCTCTAAACCAGCCAATGGAGCGAGGACACCAGTTGCCATCCTGTTACCTATCAGGCCATTGGATTATTTAGTCATCATCTTTGCGACAGCAGCCAGTGGGTGTTTGGACTGATATAGCAACAAGGACCACAAGCATTGCCACAGCAAGTGAGTCACCAGTGACATATGTGTATCCATGTGTGTGTGTGTGTACAAAGGTGTTGGTAAAAACAACATCTGACATGCTGCGATCATCATGCTCTCTTCTTGCCTGCGCCTGTTCCAACTTTATAACCTCCCCCTCTGTTCTGCTCACCGCACCATGACACACTTTGACATGACACACTGTGTATGTGCTTCAGCTTTCTCACCATAATATCACGGTTGCTACCTTGTAGGTTGAACTGAAGTGAAATTTGTATTTTTAAGAAAATTGCCACTGCTATTTTCCAACTCATTCATACTTCAACATCCCCTTTTTCAAAAATGTTTTAAGAAAATGTTCAGAATTCTGGGACGTACCCTTATTGACTTGCAGGTCAAGAGTTACTGTAAACAACAAGATGGTTACCACTGATTTCTGTATCATATCTTTTTGTGTGGGACTATTTCTTGACCAGACACAGGGACTTACTGGTATTTTTCACTGGTTGCCTAGTAACCTCACATTGACAATAAGACTGATGTCATTGCCAAAAAATATTAAACTGGTCATCAAACTGCAACTTCTTGCAGTGTTTAAATGAACTAGTGATATTGTGTTTGTGAGTTTTGTTTTCAGTTTTTATGCTACGCTAGGCTAACTGGCAGTAACTTTGTATTTGCAGTAGCATATGGACACCAGAGTGGTATTGATCCTCTCATCTAACTCTTGACAAGAAAACAAATTGCATTTCTCACAATGTCAACAATTTTCTTTTCAAGTATGATATTTTAAATATTTGTTATTATTTGGTCAACGTGTCCTTTAGGATACTGACATTGAGGTCTTTATTTTTATGAGTGCATGGTCTAAAATGCATTAAGAGCATGTACAAATTCACTATTGCTTGTGAAATGGCAGAAAACACCAAGCTCAAGGTTCTACAGAGTTATAATTGATCGTGAGTGTGTTTGGGATGTAACATGCAATAAACCAATCAAAGTGTCATCTGCTATTCCCTTTAAAAGCCAGGTATGCTCGCACCTTGACAGATTGCAATTAAAATGGAAGATTTCCCAGATGGGAAAGGGAATTTGTTCTTTAACATGGTCACTGGACGGGAAAATTACAAATGCGTTGGTGTGAAACTAGCAAAGATACTTGCATCAAGCCCATGGGGTCTAAGTCAAATTGTCATGAACTATGTAAATTCATAAACTTTAAACATCAATGTAAAGTATTATAGTCTTACATACTTGTGTTTTGTTTAAATAAATCTCTTCCATGCATTGTAATTCTACAAAAACAGTTCTAAACAAATCATGATTTGTTTAGAACAGGTTTCAGGATTTTTGATGAATAATTGTGTGTATTGTCGGACACATTATAGATTCAAGGCCTAATTGATAAATTAATAAAATAATTAAAAGATTAATCAACAATGAAGATAACAATTATTCATCGTTTTTTAATTTTTAAAGCAACAAGGGGACAAGTCCAAGCCTCTTATTATCCAACACCAATGGATATTTTAGCAAAGCAGAACACAAGTCTTTAAAATTGACTGGTAACCTAATAAAGTGAACTCACGCACCTCATACATGGGAATACACAACATTTGATCTAATTTGAATTACAACCTAGCATCATTTCCTCTGGTGGGACTAATTGACTTGGCACATGGTGACGTCAACTATGAAGTAGACGTACTTTTTCTCCAACCTGGATCATTGATCCCTGCTCAGCTATGGTGACATCAGATATCTCTGCAATTAACCCGGCTAATGAAGCAGGAGAAAAACTGCTGTTAGGAGTTACATTACATATCAGTTCCACTACATAAGACGCTACACTGACCTGCATTGTTTTCTACACTGACAGACCAAGATCTTGCGTAAACTATATAACAATATCTGTAAAATTTAATCTTTGGAGTGTGCAGAATTTGTGTGCTTTGTGAAGACACCATCAGGAGGCCTGTGTCTAAATGGTTTCAGCTATAACCGAGCTAACTGTGCATGGCCAAACTGTAAAATACAGTAGTGTTAGACCTCCAGCTCAGCCAGCGGTGGTATCAGCTGGCTTAGCTATTACAACAGTTAGCAGAGCAAAACATGTTGTTGACTATGGCATAGCATTAGTTCCACCACATTAGACACAATGACTATCACTATGACAGCATCTCATTCACAAGCACACGCACACAGACAGACACACAAACACACTCTCTCTACTTATGGAAAACCCAGCATCTCCATTTACAACACAATGGTGTGTTTCATGCCTGTACACACGTGTGGAAAATCTCATTCGCATTCAAACTGTGGACACGTCAACTTAAACAGCCGTTGCTCCTTTTTTTTTATGAAAACGGGCGCAGCAATGTCCCAGTTCAAAGCACAATGGGCCTTCTACAACCGTACACTTCCACAGAAAGGGTCATTCACAGTAAATTAGGTGACTTTCATGTATCTGTTGCACTGAATACAAACACACATGTGTGCAGACACACACAGGGTATTGTGTCAGCTACAGTGCCCTATTCAACATGACAAAAGGTCTTAAGTTTGCACACTTACTGTACATGAGTCCACAGGCCGAGAATGCTACAGCACGAGCACTCTGGTGTCCCAATTTATTTTCCAAAACACCATCCGCCTTTGTACACAGTATGTCTGGTTTGAAGAAATTCAGGATATATTTTGACTTGAGTGGTCCCTCTCTGACAAAACCCCTTTCCTCTTCTTCTAATTAACGCAGTGATTTCCTTTATTTCCCAGGGCATCCTCCAGAGAATCCTGCCTGGACTTATTGCTCTACAGTAGCAGTTATTGGTCTCGACCAATGTTCAGCAATAATGCTAATTTGTTTACAAGTATCCAAGGGGAAGAGCTACGCCGTGATCGAAGAAACAACAGCAAGCAGGCAACTTTTCACAGCGAGGACACAAGTGCTAGTCATGTATCTTAATCTAAATGTCCTGTGTGTCCTAGATATTTTGGGTTTATTAAAGCTGCACTGACTAAAATATTTATATGAGTAATGGGTCAAATTACTGCATGTAATGTGAAAGACGTTGCTCATAGTGACAAGCCGGAACGAATGTATAACCCAACCCAACAGAGACAGTGTTCTGAGTCAGTGAACGCTGCCTGCCCAGCACCCGAGGACAGAAAGTCAAAGTTAGCATTTAGCCTGTGAACTTAAGGGAGAATGTAGCAGTTGAAAAGCTGGATTTTTTTTTATCCTAAGGAGATGTTAGAGACCAAAAACTAAGCTAAACAGAGCAAACACTGGTGCTTGAGTTCTAAATCATAGTGTATCCAAAAATGGACGTAGAAATGAAGTCAAACCTGTATTCTCTTGAATGACCAGTAGAGAGCAACTCCATTGGTCACGAAATAAATCCGTATCTGTTGTCTACTCTAATTCTCACTTGATTTCTAACATCAGTAAACATTTTCCTTAGTTTCAAGTTTTCTTCAATACAGCATGATCTTCAATTTGTAAATGATGGTCTCATTTAGACTAAAAGAATAGTATGCAACAGGGCATGAATATCATGTGACTGACAGCTAGTATCAGTGGTGCAATGGGTGCATGCTGCTTTAAGTTTGAACACAGATGGAGAGTTCTCTTAATAACATCCACTGAACTACATCTGTCCTTTGAGATTATTAACCTCACAGAAAATCACCTTCACTTTTCGTAGATAAAACAAAAAGGGACTAGCCGTGGCGTTCCTTCTCGTCCATCCTCACATGCATGCTCGCATACACACCTACAGACCCATCCCTCCCTCCCTGTTGTCTTGCCTGGTACCAGTTTCCATTGACACAGATGGTGAAGGGAGACAGAGAGACACAAAGGGAGACAGGCACACACAGAGAGAATGGCTGCAGTTGATACCATCAGTTTACATCAAGTCCATTCCTCCAGTTCCATAGATTTCTATCCATAAATCGTGTGTATTCACTCCGTACATCTATCTGCCATCCACCCAACCATACCTCTTTTTTCTCCAGTGTCTCCATTCATCACCCCATGCCTCCTCCATCTATCTTAGAGCTCCCAACAACAGCCATTCATCCATTCACTCCACCTATTCGTCAATCAATCCCTCAATGCAGGTCCTACCTTTATCATGAGTTTTTACACGCCTATTAAGTTCTGGAATCTGACCTCTCACTCATCCATTTTTTCCACTCCATTCATCTCCTTCATGTCAAGTCACCAGGTTTAAGATGTATCTTTGTTGACTCCACATCACCACTTTTTTTCTTTTGAATTCTTACAAGATTTCTAAAAAAACTTTTCTTTCTCCTGACCGATTTTCCTGAATAGCCACCCTCCTAATGGATCAATAGCAATCTTAACACTTACCAGCTGCATGCCACAGATGAAGGCCAAGGTACACCTGCCACTACAGCACCCCATGGTGTCCGCCTCTGTCTCTCCCGTGGCCCACGTGGTGAGGAAACTCTGGGTAACTCCCAAATCTCCAGCAGGACGTTCGAAATCCAAGCCCCCGGAGGGCCGTCTGGTTGGCCGGCAGCCCAGGTAAGAGGTGCGGAGCAGAGCAGAGCACAGCCCCTGTACTCTCGCTGGAGCTCAGGGGAACAAAATGCTACTACTTCATTCAAACGGAGGAGCTGCTGACAGGTTAACAGGCTGAAATGTGGTGCCCAGGATTTCCAACACACATGGGGTCAGCGATCAGAGATGGAAGGTGGGCGATTCGAGTGCACAAATTGTTCCACGCTGCAAATCTACAGGGATTGGCTCTGTGGGCAAACCCTTCCCAAGCCTCTGCAACTGAAGGCGGTTCAGTAGCCAGATGAATCAGGTGGCGTGGTGCTTTTCCACTGATTGGTCTAAACACTAAATTAATTCAGAATTCTGATAATGTGGCTCTCGAGTAGAACTACCTTGGATTAGGAAAGGACTCCGGCATTGAACAAAGGTTACAGTGACTCGGTCATGCCCACAAAGGCTCCACTTGTCCAGTCATCACCTAGTGGACTACAAAGTCCGGTTGACGATGATCTCCATGAGTAGCATCCTTGGCATGGTCCTGGACAGAGGCTACTTAACGAATGACAGAAAACAACAGGCAGAGATGGTGAGATTAGTCGGATGTGTTAACCAGATTATATAATCTCTCCTTCAGTAATCCGATTGAGCATCACTTGGATTGAAAGAGCCTCATTTGTCTCAGGGTGAAAAAAACAAGTGAAAGTGGCCCCTGCCTCCTTTCACGGACCAGATCCTGTCCTCTCCTGGGAAGTCATGAAATCATGATCATCAACTGTTCATTCACACCAGCGTTTTTTTTTTCTTAACCTCCAAACCTGCAGCTGCAATCCAGTATCTCTCTGGGAGATGATGGGTCAAATTGTTGCTGGGATGTTAAGTCAAAGCCCCTGGAAGCTGATCTCTGTGGGGTAATAAGTCCTCCTCCTCCGGACGATCTCCCACATCAGCTCCACAACACAGCCGCCGTTGTGTCAGCCGTCGCTCGGTTCATTCGTCGCCTCTCCTCCGGTCCATCCCTCTACAATGTTGGAGAAGAAAGCTGAGAGACAGAAGCGTGTCCACGGGGACAGGCTGAGATCCGAGTCTCTGATGTGACGCACGGGCCAAGACAGGCAGCGAAAAACGAGGGCTAAGTTTAGTTTGTCTTCAAGGAGCGAGAGAGGGAGACAATGGGAACCGGGATGGAACGAGGGAGAGGGAGAGTGTGTGAGGGAGAGAGAGAGAGAGAGAGGAGCGTCTCTCCCGCCTGCCAGCTGTCAAGTCAAACACCGCGCAACCACGTGGCTTCTCCGGTTGGGATTTCCAAAATAAAATGTTATGACTTTTTTCACAATCCCAATCCAACAAACTAAGCACAGGATAAAGTGAGAAGGATGCCCCTGTAAAAAATAATGGCTAATTCCATGCAAAGAAGACTCAATGAAAAACAGTGAAAATGTGAGTCGACTGTGTGAAAGCTCAGTATATAGACTACAGGTGAACTTCTACTTCTTCTTCTTCTTCTTCTTCTTGGTATGTCATGGTCTTCTGCAAAAGTATTTAATGTTATCGATTTGTTTATTGTTACAGATGGAAAATTCTCTTAAGTCAGGAAGCATGTGCAGCGTAGAAAGTTAAGTAGATAGTTGCAGCCAACATGACCGAACAGACAGAGACAGACAAACTGACAGAGAGACAGACAAAGAGAGACAGACAGAGACAGACAGAGAGAGAGAGACAGACAAACAAACAGAGAGACAAACAAACAGACAGAGACAGACAGACAGAGAGAGACAGACAAACAAACAAACAAACAGAGAGACAGACAAACAGACAGACAAAGAGAGACAGATAAAAAGACAGACAGACAGAGACAGAGAAAGACAGACAGATAGACAGAGAGAGAAAGACAGACAAGAGAAACAGATATACAGACAGATAGACAGACAGACAGACAGACAGACAGATAGATAGATAGATAGATAGATAGATAGATAGATAGATAGATAGATAGACAGACAGACAATAGTTGAACAGAGGCATGTTCTGTGCTTTTATTCTGAAGGCAGGTGGTCCTGACATCCCTCCCTGCTGTAGCTGCCTGTAGCTGCCTTGATGAGGCTGATGTTCCGCTCGGCAGGGGAGCAGGAGGCTCTTTTCACTCTCTGAGACACACAAACACACAGACGCAGGGATATGGAGCTTTTGGTCGGACTGCAGCTGCTCCAGAACATGGCCTTCAACCATCCTGCATCATAATGAATGAGACCATGTGCTCTCCCTCTCTCCCTCCCTCCCTCCCTCCCCTCGGACTTGTCAAGATGATCATTTTATCTCATTTCTCATGCACTTAATTGAAGGCTAAGGGTTTCCTGATAACCTGCTATAAAGAGTGAATATTAAAAAGAGAGTGGGGGTGGGGGGTGCAGTGTGTTTTAAAATTCCATGGAGCTTTTGTAAAATGAGTTACAACTATCCGCCAGTTATTGGAAGGAGACTTGGGGTTAACACTTCAGAGGTTTGATTGCCTCATTTGTTGATGACACCTAATTCATCTCTGTGTTGTTCCCACCGTGCCTTGTGGAGTTCAGCAGCGAATTAAGCAACAAAATGCTGCTGAAAGCAAAGCCCCTCCAATTAAAGGTGGCGTAATCTGTGTGCTGTGGGGGTCAGCGGTGCCACGCCTTTTGGAGGGCCAGCAGTTTAAACAGACATGGATGTGCAGAGGCTATCGCTGCTTCGGGTGTACAATGTAATGGCCTGCTTTCCCCCAAACATCAATCTCTGTCACAGATTACCCCTCCCACACACAAACACACCCACGAAAACAACACACACGTTCGGACTCACACTCACATGCACGCAAGCACACACACATTGGAACCACATGCAGTGCAGTTAATTATGCCGCTAATCTTGAGTGACAGTTGCATGTATAATGGCTGATTCCCCGGGGCCATGTGTCAAAGCATCCACCCATTCATCCTTCCATCCCGCTTTTTATTTATCATCTTACCTACTTAGTCATCCACCCATTGTCCCAACCATATTTCCACTCGTTTTTTTTATTGTCAACATCCTCCCTCTGTTTTGCGTCACTCCCTTCTCTCCTTCCTTTCAGCCACCTTCTTTGTCATTCGTGTAGCCTTTTTCTAATAGTGGCTCAAAAGCCCAACCTCTCTAATTTCTTTGTCATACATCATCTGCTCTTCCACGAAGGTCACTGACAGGGTCAGCGGGGCCTGTGCCCGCAGGGGGTTTCTGACCACTTGGACCTAGGCCTTGGATCTCCTTAGGGTGAGGCCCCCGGGGGTCAAAAGGCTTGTTGGAGGTGAACATTACAAATATTAACTGAGTGCAGCCTACACGTGAATCTGAGTGAACATATGAGCTAATGAAAATGCTTGATTTATCTGTAGTTGAATTAAGAAATTAATCAGAAACAATTTTACGCATCGTTCACTGGTTCAAATTTCTTACATGTGAATATATTCTGGTTTTGTCTGTTCTATGATGGTTAACTGAATATCTGCTGCTTGAACAAAACAAGCCATTTGATGTTAATTAATTATTAATGAAAGTAACCATTAGCCGCTGCCTTAGGAGTAAGTAAAATAAAAGATTACAATTTGCCAACTGTATAAAATCACAACAGCAAAACTGAGTCAGAAAAGTGCTGAATCTTTTGTTCTGTCCAATGCACTCGTGATTATATATTATATATTAAAAAGAAACTATGAAGATCAAAACTGAGGAAGGAGGGAAACAACACATTGTAAAGACACGAGGACAAAGGAGTGAAAATGACTGTGTTGTTGTCAGGTCACTGTTTATCCATTGATACTAGTTATTGTCACTTATCTCATCTGAGGCTTTGTGCTGCTTTATAAACATGCTGCTTTCCTGTCATGAACATGACAGATATATATAAGGCATATTTGATTTTTCTTTTCACAGAGAGAAAAAAAATGTGGCCAAGAGAGCGAGAGAGTGAGTGACAGATAGAGAGGGAGAAAGAGAGGTGGAAAGAGAAAAAGAGTGAGAGATAGGGTACACCTCCTTCCAGATAGTGAGATAGTACATGTTTATTACTTTATCTGTCTGGACCAGATGTCACTAGATGCCTGCTGCTGCCAGCCTATCTCAGCCCACACGCGCACACACACGTACGCACGCACGCACGCACGCACACACACACACACACACACACACACA